GAATGGGATCATATGGCCCAGAGTTATTAATATAATATTGTCATCTTCAAGCGTTCCAAAATGTGGGGTGGAATGCACACTCCGGAGGGTAGGGAACGATTGCAGGCAGACCTGGACAGGTTAGAAAAGTGGGTAGTACTACAATAGGATGCAGTACAATAAGGACCATGCAGAGTGCTGCACCTAGGGTGCAAAAATATCCAGCACACCTACTGGTTGGGAAGTGACCTTCTCAGCAGCACAGAAGCGGAAAGGGATGTCAGAGTCATAGTGGACTCGAAGATGAACGTGTGTCATCAATGTGATGAAAGCATCAGCAAAGCTAACCACACTTTATCATGCATCAGCAGCATTGGTCAGACCACAGCTGGAGTACTGGGTCCAGTTTTGGGGGCCGTACTTCAAGAAGGATGTTGATAGACTTGAGAGGGTCCAAAGGAGGGCCACTTGTATGGTTAGGGGCTTACAGGAGAAGCCCTATGAGGAGACTTCTGAGGGACCTGGACACTTCAGCCTCTGTAAGAGAAGGCTGAGAGATGATTTTGTGGCTGCCTACAAATTCATTAGGGGGATGCAGCAAGGGATCGGAGATGCTCTGTTCACCAGGGCACCTCTTGGGGAAACAAGGAACCATGGTCAAACTGACAGAGAGCAGATTTGGGCTAGATATCAGGAAAACTTCATGGTAAGGGTTGCCAAAATTTGGAATGGGCTTCCAAGGGAGGTGGTGCTCTCCCCTACCTTGGGGGTCTTTAAGAGAAGGCTGGGTAGGCATCTGGCTGGGGTCATCTGCCCCCAGCCCTCTTTCCTGCCTAGGCAGGGAGTCCGACTCAATGATCCATTGAGGTCCCTTCTGACCCTAGCATCTATGAATATATGAAAATCAGGATTCAGGCCACAAGGAATTCATACTGGTTTGGAAATTGCAAAGTTTTAAAAATAGTACATGTTGGGTTCTTTGTGACTTATTTTACGGTGTTCACTGTGTGTCTTACAGTATTTAGAATGTATGGGGGGAAGGGTTAAGTTTATATGGCAGCCCCTGCAGTCACGTGGTTACATTTATGAAAATTTTAGGTGTATTAGATAATTTTGTAGGGTAGATGGTTATGGTGAAAAAAATCTCTTTAAACAAATCTCTTGTTTTTGGGGGCCTCAATCATAAGTTTTGAGTGCTAGAGGTTGGTAATACTGTACCCACAAGAGCTATGACTTTAAAAAAATTAAAACTGAGGCTCTTTATTGACCACATGATACCAGAAATTGAAGCTTCTGAATTGTGTCACAATGAAATCATGAGACTTGGCAAGACTGGTGGCATATATCAGTTTCCTTGGCCCCTTTTATGAAATTCCCCCAGTTCTTTTAATGCAAGAGGTATAGAGCAGGGGTAAACAAAATGCAGCCCGTGGGCTGCATGCGGCCCACCAGGCCATTCTATCCGGCCCGCAGAACCTCTAAAAAATGTAGAAAATGAATATTTAGCTGCCTCTGGCCGCCTGTTATGCGGCCTTCGTTGGCTTGCCAAAACTCAGTAAGCATCCCCCTGCCCGAAATAATTGCCCGCCCCGGTATAGAGCATCCATCACATTATTATGAGACACTTACATAGGAAACCAGTATTCAGAGGTGCCCTACTCTCCTTTACAGAGGAGGAGAGTTGGAAGGTTGATATCAATTCAGGGGCAAAAGTTAAGGTATTTTAGGTACAGTCCCTCTGAGTTTTCATACTTTGAAATGTTTATGTTGCTTTAAAGCTCAGCCTTAGCTCCAAATTTGCTGTTTCTTGACTGCTTTTGAATGATTGCTTTCAAACTTCAAGTAAGTGTTTTTGGTTTGGGGATTTTACATTAATGTGTGCTTTGCTATCCTTCCCTATCAATGCAACTTAGAAAGACACAAGATTATTCTGTTCTTTTTTCTGTGTGATTTAAAAACAATGACATATAAAACACAACATTAAAAGGAATTGCTCCATTACTCTTCCTATAGCTTAGTTATAAATGGAGACTTACTGAAAACAAAACCCTTAAAACTTAAAACTTGATGGTCCTGACAATGAGCAGTAAGAAACAGCATTTTGTTTTCAACACTTTCCCATTTCAAATATTCTCTGTATGAGTGTATTGCTTGTTACAATAACAAACATTCTAACATGCAGGAGTTTGGAATAATCTAAGAATATAAAAACTTTTTGATTAAATTGTGGATTAAATTAAGTTGCTGAACTGAATTGGAATGTACAACAAAACCCACGACAACCCAGTGAGAGCATGGGGGGAAATTTGGATGCCCTTTTTTTTACCTCTGGTTTTTTTTGGAAGTGCCTAGCCCTAGCCTCTCCATGATAAAAGGCACTGGAGGGGCATTATGGGGTTTATGAGGTTTGAATGTGTATACACGTATCATCTCACTTAATTTACTGTCTTTACTTGAATGTATATGTAATATAAGATGACTCCAAATATAAGATGATCCCCCCCAATAATTAGATTCTGTATATGGAAAATGTATACATTTTCAAAATTTTCCAGGTATAGAGTCTAAGTAGTTGGAGGGTTGTCTTGATTGCCTCCCCGCCACACACATACTGCTACAGCAGGGAAAGCAGTGGCTGGGAGAAGTGATCGGGTGGCTCCCTTGCCCCCTGTACCACCCACTTCTGCCACCTGCACCCTCCACCCCCCAGGTCCCAACTCCCCAGTCTCTCCCCTCCCCCCACCCTTACTGTCAGATGCTATATGGGCCACTCTATCCTGGAGCCCAGCATGTGGAAGCTCAGCTCATGTCTGACCATTCACTGGTGCTAGTGCTGCTGATTGGCCGGGCAGGGGAAGGACTTTCCATATGCTACTTGCCTTGGAGAGAACCCAGCCTGAGCTGGAGCTGAGCTGTACCAGGCAGTAAGTGGGGGGGCTCGAAGCTGTGGAGGGGAGGCAGGAGGCTGTTGTGGGTCTGACTCTGGCCCTGACCCAGGCTCAGGGCCAGAAGCAGAGTCTCAGCAGCCACTTGCTCCCCGCACTGCTTCATATACCAATATAATGATTGGATGGAAAACCTCATCTTATATTTGAGTAAATATGGTATAATCCCAAAAGGCATGAACTGTGCAAGCTGAAGAAGGGTGTATTTTCTCTTTGCTGTTTAGTCTGTATGTGTGTGTCCATTTTGGAGGGTGTTATTTTGAATTCCTAAAGGCATGTGTTCCTTTAGAATTCTCCAATCGCTGGAGAACTAGTTGACCAGTGGACTCGTAACTCAGTTTCAAAACTTAATTAATTAGTAGGAAGAAGTAAATTGGGATTTCCACTAGGGCAGTCCCAAAGGGTGTTCTGTGGCCATAAGAGTGATGGACGTGCGCTACAAAAATCCCCATCCTGTGTGAGGAAGTAAATGTTCTTCCCTGCCTGGCACCCTGTCCCTGCCCCAGCTACTCCAGCAGCATCTGGAGCTGCTACACTGGGGACTGCCACCACTGCTGCTGCCTTCCCTCACCCTTTCCTACTCCCCAGGCAGCCCCTGTGCCAGTCTTCCCTCTCCTCCACAGTGAACTCTGCTGCAAGTGGGCAGGCAGGCTTTGCACCCTGGCTTGTCCCTTCTGGTCTGCTTGTGTTTCTGGAGCCGCTGGGGTGGTCACTGTTGTGTGTGACCAGGAGCAGCCTTAGCAGCATGGCGTGCTCTTGCCCCATCCATATCTTTGGTGAATTTAGGTCTAGTTCAGTGATTTTTCAACTAGGGTGCTGCAAAATTTGGAGAAGTTATGGAGGGGTCCGTGAACCTAAAAAGGGTGAAAACCATTGGTATAGAGACTAATCCTTTTCATAAAGAAAGATGCCTTTGGTGTAATTTTTTTCACAGGACATCTTGGCTCTGGTATGATTTTCTGACAGGGGTATGGAGTATGTTATAGGTTTCGGGGAGGTGGGGGGGAAATATATATATATATATCCCTTTTTGGGTGTAAGAGTCAAGTGTACCACCAATTTTAATCCAGAGAAAAAGTGCACCAGGTGTCAAAAGTTTGAAACACACTGCACTAGGGATCCCAAATGATTTACTCAAGTTTGCCCGTTGTTTATGTACTCCAGCTCCTACTCCTGGTAGAATTATATCTGTACCGGCTTAGAAAAAGTAGATTCATAATAGGTATATAGTTCGTCATAGATGTTTTCATAGATAAAGAGTTGGCCTTGTGGTTAACTGCAGGAAATACCTTCAGGAACTCTGGGTTCTGTTCCTGTGCCTACTATAGTCTTTGGGGACTTATACAAGTTACATTTTTCATGCGATACAGCTCCTGAAACTGCTTTACAGCCATGACATAACACACATGCATGGCTGCAGAGCAGTTTTAAAGTAGCCAGTCACACAGAAAATTAACCCTTGATAAATCAGGTATTAGTTGAAGGCGCTATAGAGCAGAGTGCCTTAAGGAACTTGTATTCCCTTGAGGGTTAATTTCTTGTGCCTTTGAGGGGCTGTGCTGGTGCTTGTGCGAATGTCTGTTGGGTATGGGGGAGATACTTTAACTCATGGTGCTTTGTGTAAAGTGCCATGAGTTAAAGTACAGCTCCTGAACATCTATATCTCACAAAGTTGTTGCCATGAAAGGGTGCAAAGCTGTGCTACAGTTCTTCAGAGGGTAGGCACTTGGGGAAGTATAAAAATGTAATAGTGTACTTACATTTATAAATATGGCATACCTCCAAAAGGTATATTAACACTGCTGACAAAAAGTTGGCTTTTATCTTCTATATACATATACGAGAATAAATTGCTCTATTAGCCCATGTGTATTTAATATTACTGATAGTATTTTAGCAAATAAAATTGCTTTTCTTCTCTAGTTCTGTAACATTTTTGCACCCATTTAAAGTACTTAATCTATAAAGAAAGAAATATGTAGCACTACTTTGAAGCAAAGCTCTGAAAGCGGCGTGGGGCTCTCTGATTAACCGAACCTGAACTGTTTCCTCCCCTCCCCCCACCCTTGTCTCTAGCTGTCAGAAATGACAGGAACAAAAAGAAGAAGGAGCCTTCAAAGCAGGAGTCCACAGAACACTATGAAATGACAGCAGAGTTGGATGATCTCACTGAGAAAATCCGGAAAGCGCACCAGGAAACCTTCCCTTCACTCTGCCAGCTGGGAAAATACACTACGGTGAGTGCTGTTCATAAGGAACATGCTTGGTAAGTATGTTCCCCACTCTGACCTCAGGGTGGGAATTGTGTACCTTACACTCTCACAGAAATACTGCAGTAGATGATTACTAGACTCTTGTTGCCTTTGTGAAGTACACATGTGCATAGAAATATGGAATGTGGAAAATCCCATCACTTAAAATGGAGATAGTATAGGGGGGAGAAAATAACAGCCTATGGGCCAGGTCTGGCCCACCAGGTGATTCTGTCCGGCCTCCAGCATTCTCCACACTCCTCTCTCCCTCCTGTGGGAGCCGCCAGCTGCAGCAGCAGCAGCTCCAGCTCCGACTCCCGGGACTGCAACCCACTATGGAGCATGGCTGGGGCTGAGGTACGTAGCAGGGTGAGTGCCTGCAGGACCACAATGGGACTCAGCCCCTAAATATCCCCCCACCCTCCTCTCCTTCTGCCCCAGCTCCTGCTGCAGGCACTGGTCCACACTGGACTCCGGATGCCTTCCCCTCCTGCCACCCCATGGCACGAGTTTACATGTGGCAGTAGTGAAGCAGCACAGGAAGCAGGAGCCCCC